TATTTCCCCCCATTTTTGTAAACTCCAGAGAATATATTTCTAACTGATCCAGTCTCTCTTCAAATGGCAGTGCTGCCATCTTAGGAATTAGGCTGCTAAAACTTCATTGCACTATCAAGTGGCATTCAAATGACAATTAATTGCTCAGCAGTGCTCAGTTTGTCCTCTGTCAGGGACTTAGCTCCTAACTTCATTACAGGCTTGTTCCAAATGTAGAAAGTAAGATGTGAGGTGACAGTGACTGTTCTTGACTTCAAGGAAGCATTTGACTGATTGCAACATCTTGCAAAACTAACAAAATTGATGTTAGTTCGAATCAGGAAAAGCTTTTTATTTACTTAGAGTCATACTTAGCACAAAGGTAGATGATTGTTGTTATTGGAAGTCAGTGACCTTTGGAGAAGGTGGGACTGGAGCCCAGGCCTCCTGGCTCAGAGATTGGGACATTACCATTGCACTACAAGAGCCCTATGATTTCCATGGTAATATCCTATGTCCAAAACTGTCTTATCAATTCTCTACCTTCCAATACAAGGTCAGAAATGGAGATATTCACTGATGATTGTACGGCGTTCAGAACCATACTGATATAGTCCATGTCTATATGCAGCAGGACCTAAACTGAACCAGCCACATAAACTGTTTATTGACAACAGCAGGTCAGAGGAATGCTGTGAAAAACTCACTTCCTGGATCCCAAAAATTTCTCCAAAATCTGCAGTACATCAGTCAGGATTGCAGTGGAATACTCTCTTTTTGACTATAGATGGGTACAGCTCCAACAACACTCAAAATCTCACCCTTTCCAAGACAAGTTGGCACCCCTTCTACCATTTTTAATATTCCTTCACTCCAATATCAATACATACTGGCAGCAATGTGTACTGTTTACAAAATGCAATGAAGGAAATTATCAAAGTCCCTCTGACACCACTTCCCAAACATTGCAATCAAGGACAGTGTTTACATGAGAACAACATCACCTGAAAGCTTTCCTGTAAGTGACACACTGTCCTGACTTGGAATCAAATAACTTTGGAATGAAAAGCAAATGTTTGGCCTAGTTAGGAAAGGCAGGAGACTGATAATAGGAGGATACTCTAGTCGGCAGAATGTGACTTGCAGTGTCTGGTAATTACCTTCCTTGAAGCTGTATTTACTAATGACAGATGATAAGATAGAAAACCATGTCAAAATTTGTCAATGACACAAAGCTAGGCAGCATTTTAAGCAGTGTAGATGGAAACATAAAATTAAGAGTAATTTTATTCACTCATTGGATGTGGATGACATTGTCTGGGTCAGCATTTATTGGCTATCCCTAGTTGTCCTTGAGAAGGTGATGGTGAGCTGCCTTCTTGAACCACTGCAGTCCATGTTCTGTAGATAGATCCTCAATGCTGTTAGGGAGGGAATTCCAGGATTTTGACCAATATTAACCAGATGAAGTAAATGGAAAAAGTCATTGCAATTTTTGTTCAATACAGGAAAATGTGAGATCAGCCACTTTGGACCAAAAATTGTCTAGAGCGAGATATATCCTACCTGGTGAAAAATTAGCACGTGGAAGCACAAAGAGACTTGGTAGTGGGCAAGGGAGGTAGGGAATTAGGGGTGGTGAGGGGTGTCCAAGTATATAGATCATTTCTCCTCATTGGGAAGAGAAGAGAGGACTTAGTCTGAAAATTAGAGGGAACCATTTGAGGAAACATTTCAGAAATGAAATTAAGAAACACTTGCATTTGCGAAGGGTAGAAGAAATTTGGAACTCTCTTGCACAAATGGAAATTGATGTAAATTGTTAAGTTTAGAACTGTGATTGATAGATATATTTTCCCTCAGTGTATTCAGGGATATGGGCAAAATGGCATCCTCCTATTTCTCTGTTCCAGGGGTGTGTCTTGCCCTGAATGAGAAATAGGCAGTACATGAATCCTGACAAAGCAGCACCTGCTGCTGCGTGATAGAGGGACGGAAGGACAAGGACAGCAAGGTGCATTCACCAACCACGCTAGGATTTTTGAATGAAAGATACCACTGAATTTGCATTGTAGATTCCTGTGTGGTAACTTCCCTGCTCACTGCTGGTATCAAGCATCTGAATGTATCATCTTCTAAATTTGCTTGGCCTGTAGAGAATGTGATGGAGAATAGCAATTATTTCCCAAGACATGTGTTTCACACAGAAACCCAGTCAATTTCCTAAACATCAAGGAATCCGATTCCAATAATGTATAGGTAATATGCAAAGCTGCTTCCATAATTTTACATCTAAGTTTGTGTTAGCTGTAATCTGCCAGTGAAAATGTATACTTACGAAGTAAGCAACGCTTGCATTGCTGGTTAAATTATGCCTCCCACAGCACTGGCTGATGCAACTCTCCAAGTCCAACAGTGAAGAATAGATATAATGAGATCTTATAACCCTAGGCACTCAAATAGAGGAAGAAAGTCTGAATGGCAAGATCCCTTTCCTGAGAAATCAAGGGAAAAGCTTCACAAATTATCATAGCTCACTACATTCAGCTGCACATTTAGAACGGGGTTTTCCTTTTATCTGTGGACTTGAAGGAAGGAACAAGTATCCCATCATTTAATCATGCACAGATTAATGAAGAAGGAGATAAGGTACTTTTGGGATCTAAGGTCACTCCAGGAAAGCTACTGTCGGTAACTCATTATCAATACCTGATTGCAGTAAATTGGATTCCTTACATTCACTAAGTGTATTTTCCTTTGCTCATGCTTTCTGTTATTCACTATTCCCTGCTGACCGCTATTCCTTAAATCAAAACATGTTTGACCTTTTTAGGGAGAAATATACCCGTGAAATTGTAATCAAAAAGACAAAAGTTCAGATACTCACAATAGAAAGCACATGGCACACGAATCATTTTCCAATTTTATTTACATTGAAGTTTCAGAACTACCTTCTTTTATTTCATAGAATGTCAGAATTACAGAAATGTTACAGTGCAGAAGGAGACCATTTGGCCCATCACGTCAGCACTGGCTGTCCATCATGACTTAGTGCCATTTTCCAGCCTTTTCGCCTTACCCTTGTACTCCTTACCACAGCCTTTATCCCTTGCATTTGAAACCTTGCTTTCTTGAGATTGTATCTTTTTTTACCTCAATGTGGCACTCCCTGAGTTGGAAGTTAAGAGATTTTAAATTAATCTTTTCAGCTGGAGACTTACAACATTGATATGACAATCAATTCAGTGAAGCTGATGCCTTTGAAGCTTATCATTGTAATGGTGACCTGACAATTGTCCAAAGATCTCTCATTCACTGGGGGAACAGCTGCATCACTCATCTAAGAGAGCATGGTGTCCACAAATAACATGCTTGCAACCTCATGATTCTGGCCAATCGTTCAATGGGTCACAATCAGTAAGAAAAATTAACTCTAAGAAACCCTGGAATGTGAGAAGTATCACACGAGGACAAAACAAAAGTAATTGTAGCTCCCTTTCCAATAGCCACAACTGCACTAGATCCGTATCCTTCAACCTTACAGCTGTAGTTCTCAATTGGACGGCCTCACGTGAGAAAAACTTTACAGCTGCACAAATTTCCTTCATTCAAATACAGGGGAACCATCTCCACTGGCCAAATGTATGCTATGCTGCTGTATCATTGGCATTTAAAGATAACATTCCTGAGATCCAGGTACCTGAGTTACACAGCTAAGAACAATAGGTGTCAACACCACCTCCCAAAACCCATGCCACTTTATTTTCTATTTCCCTCTCCTGTGTACTGGTGTGCATCACCTTATGCTATTTCCTCTGAGTCTCCCTGAGTGAGTCTATTACAGTAAGTTCACAAGTGATGGACCAAGATGGTTCAAATGAAGCAGGCACTATGGTTGAAGAGATGAAGGTGCCAATTTGATGTTTGGACAATGTCCCAGTTACCCCTGAGAATGGCATAAGAGATATCTAAGAAAATAAATGGGGAACAGTCAATTATCGAAGTTAACAACAGTTATAATCTTTGAAAGTGTGATCTGGAATTTTCTTACACATTCTGTTGCTGTGCAACAGCTGCTTTACTTGAGCATCATGGAATCCTTGAAGCCCCAGTGCTGATCAGTAAAATGGAGGATGTCATTCTGGAAGTCAGACTATACTGACCCCTGAAACTGAAAGGAAATATTTAGGCACAGGTGCAGAGAGGAGTTGGTCTCCAGCATCACTAGATCAACTTTGTTGAAAAGAATAAGGAAACCTGGCTGCTTCAGTAATAGATAGAAATTGTGGAGGGAATTAAATATATCTAACTGGCATGGGAAAAGATAAATTCAGGCATTGCCTCTAAGTAAACATTGGTAGTAGGATAAGGGTGCATAGATTCAAATCTGTCTGAAGAAAGGAACATTTTATGTAAAGCATGGCCAACATTTTGGAAGGAATATCAAACAGGGCACCTCAGGCTGGAAGCATTTAAATCAAGGTCAGTTGTTGTGATGGAAAGATATGAGCTTTTTTAATGTACCTATCTTAATAGCATGTATTCAACTAGCTAAAAATTCAGCCCTTTAAGAAAGTTTTTTGTTTAAATTGAAATGTCAACATTTTTGACAAGTATTTAGTCAAGAAAATAGAAAGCTAAGCCATAGCCTCAACATTACAAAGTTATCACAGCAAAAGATTAAGGAAAATATCTAGGCTAATATTATACTTGATAAAGAAATGTTGCAAAGTTAAAACAAAAGGGAGAAAATTAAGTCTAGAAAATGAAGACAAGATGTGAACATTGTCAGTATTTATTTTAGCTGTTTAAGATGAATAATTTGAGCTGCATTTTTATTGTGTTATTAATGCAATGTCATGTCATTTTCTCTGAGTTGTTTGTTTAATTGGTTAACACAGTTAGATTGGAGTTCTTTCATCGACTCAGATGTAAACCATATAACAAGACAACAGAAATTAACATGTTAATTGAGATGAATGAAAGATAAGAATCTAAAACCATTTTCTTTTCTATTGAAGCTGCTATGCCAACAATATGTGCCACGTGGCCACCTTACTTCCATTCATGGGAATGAACAGAACCAGTTTATTCAAAATCTAATTAAGACTAAGGACCAAACACAACCTGAAACCTGGATTGGTTTCAGTGATTGCTATCAGGTAAAGTTACTTTATTTCTTTCAGGGCAGAATCTTGTAAGGGTCTGAGCAATGTGGGTATGTCGAGATTTGTGGCAGTATCAGACGAGAAATCTGTGAGGCCCATCTCAATGTTGGGAACATCTCGCTCCATCTTTTATGAATTTGTTAAGCAGCGTGATGAGTTTCTCGCTAGGCAGCAGTGAGTTGCAAGAATTTGGGAGAATATTGCTCGTTAAATGCCTTGTTAACAGTCACCTCATTAAAGTTTCTGTCTTACCAAACATGTCTAACAAGCTAGACATTGAGAAAACTGAACATGGAAATCAAAGTGGGTACCTGGCAAATTCAGCTTGCCACTTACTCCAAAGGGCCTCCATGATGCATACAAGCAAACAGCATTGCAGGACATGATCCATGGGCACCAGCAGTATCATCGGCATTGGCATCCTGTCAGCCCTTCCAGAGCATCATGGTACCTCTCCGATACACTGACAGGTTGATTAGAAAGCACACAGTCATGTTGCAGGGTGCACCAGCATTTAGCATTGAAAAGCTGCAGCAGAAACGCTATGCGTGTGGCAGACTGGACAAAGCTGCATCTCAGGCTGCTTCCTTGATGACTTAGCACTTGCCGAATTAGCACCTACCTGCTTGCTCGCAGCATCCCTGCCGTGCCATACTGTGACTTTCCTTGCCTGTTAGCATATTGGGCTTCAGGCAGAGCCAAAGTCTATCAGTGCTGCCATATTGAGGTGCTCTTTAGCCCTGACACACAGAAAAGTTGCTTGTCAGTAAGAGTGGGACAACACCTTGATGTACATGACACACAAGGTCATTAATCTAACACCTACACAGCATGTGTCAGCTGCTTGCTTGACAAACACACTGCACATTTTTCAATCAAATTAACATGTTGAGAAGTAGCATATGCTAGTCTTCAGTTCAGCCAACAAGCGAGATGGGTGCAGGGCATTGATGGATGGGGTATTCTGGCACTGACAGTCAGGGAGACAATCACATATGGTCCAAGGGCTTGTCCATATCAGTGGCCCACTTGGAATGGACATATTCATGGATAGCCCTTGTCTCCCAGTAACCAGCCTTGTAAGTTTCCTGGACCCTCAAATGCAGTAGATATATTGCTGGGATTGCTGGGATTGGGCAGCAACAACTTGTATCATCAGGCAGGGATTTGCAAAGACAGTGGTCTGGGTCTGATCACCCAGGTCCAGGGACTGCTCCTCAAAGTTAGTGAGAGTATGAGGTAAATACAATACTGGGTCTCCATCCGTTATTTGTTCAGGAATGTAAAAAGAGGGTCTGTAGGAGCAGCAGAGGGGTCATTGCCAAAAGAGATGGTGGAATCAAAGCTGCAGAATAAAGCAGAGGCTTTTGTGGAGGTGGGGACAAGGATGGTGTTGGAGATGTGGGTGATATGGAGGATATACAGAAGCAGGACCTCAGGGCTACAGTGGTGAGAGACCATTCTTCACCAGTGGCTGTGACAGCCATGTTGAACTTCTATGCTACTGGCTCATTCCAGGGACTGACAGGTGACCTGTGTGTGATCTCTCAGTTGGGCACCCACAAATACATCAGGGCAGTGACTGATGCAATCTTTGCACTGAGACAGCTGTATGACAACACTGCAGAATTCACCAACAGGAAGGGGCTTTATTTCAATAATGTGTTGGTAATCTGTGTTTATCATTGCCACTTCCTTGGGGATATGTGCTCACTATTCTGGCAGCTGCCATGATACATAAATCCTGGAGCACTCTCCCGTACCTGTTGCATTTGAGGGTCCAGGTACATTACAAGGCTGGTTACGGGGATACAATAGCTACCTGCTGTGACCCTGGTTCATGATACCATTGTGCAGAATATAGATACAAGGCTATTCAATTAGGACTGTGATGGAGAGGAGCATATGGCCGCTGAAGATATGGTTATGCTGCTTAGACAGTCTGGGGTGGGGCATTGAGTATTTTCTGGACAGAGTGTGCTGAGCTATAGTGGTGTGCTATTTTCTGCTCAACTGGAGCAGTCAAAAAGGCGATATACTGGATGCTGAGAAACAGTCTTCTGGGAAGGAGGAATGAGAAAAGCAAGAAAGGGGAAAAGAATCGGGAAAAGCAAGTTGATATTGTCCATGACAGAGTACGGTTGTGAAGGGCACTACAAGCCAGATGAAGCATCATTGACACTCACTTCCAGCAGAAGAGAACTGGGTGCAACAGATAATCGCAGACTGTAAAATATTCAATGCCACAATTTGGTTTGCATTATTGGTATAATTGTCAGCTTCTATAGGTTTTGTTTGCATTCCCTTTTGCTGTCTCTAAATAAAAGCTTATGTATGTATTTGCCTAATGGCTTACGTGTGTCCGATGCTGCCCTACTGGACAATGACAAGCTGCAGGTGTACTGGGTCAGAGTAATGCTGACTTAGAGGGTGTACTGACCCTGTGCTGTACCTGTCCTTGGAGGATTTCCTGGGGACCGTATAGGTAGAGATTTACATTCAGTTTAAAGGAGTAGAGGCAGCTTTATTCTGTATCTAACCCCATGCTGTACCTGTCATGGGAGTGACTGATGTTTTCATTTTAAACATATAGAGGAGGCTTTTCTTTCAGTTCAAAAAAGTAGAGCGTGCTTTACTTTCAGTTTAAGAGAGTAGCTGGTGTGCAGAAGGGATGTAGCTACAGACAAGTAAAGAGAGTGGTGTGGTGGTTGCACAGTGTCGAGGGTGAAAGAGCTGTTTGTGTGAAAGAATGTCATCCCCGTGCCGTGGACAGCGTGGCTTTGTGGTTGTTGTGCCACAATGCTGCTAGCTGTGGAGGGTGTGAGCAACATCAATAGCTGCTGAATGGTGAGTTATTCTGGGAATGGCAACTAGTAAGATGAAATTGGATGTGATGGATGCAATAGAGGTGGGCTAGGTAGTTAATAAGGCGAGTTTGGTAAGTTACAGCAAGAAAACTCATTAGGCTTTATGGCAGAAATCTGTCTGAGAAACTCAACATAACTCAGAATTAGCTAAAAACACATAAGATTCAGCACACAGCCTATAGACTTCTTTAAGCAATGCTATCATAATGAAGAAGGGTCCAGACCCGAAACATCAGCTTTCCTGCTCCTCTGATGCTGCCTGGCCTGATGTGTTCATCCAGCTCTACACCTTGTTATCTCAGACTCCAGCATCGGCAGTTCCTACTGTTTCCTCATATGGAAGGTTTAATAGTTTCACCTCAAATTCTGTTTCTTTTTAACCAAGGCTTCCACCAATTTAAAATAAAACTTTGCAAGTTGCAAGCTTTATTTTTCCTGGATGCTTATAAATTAAAATAATGATGAAATTTCTCATACAGGAGGGTCTTTTCCTGTGGAGTGATGGATCGCTTTCAGATTTCACGCAATGGAAGGAAGGCCAGCCTGACAATATGGAAGAAAATGAGAACTGTGTGCACATCAATTCTGAAGGTATGCTAGCATTTTAGGTTGCATTTCAAATGTACCATCACACAAATAAATTCCAGATACAATGAGAGAGTGACTGCTATACTGAAATAATGGGGTCATGTTTCCTTGTGTGATAGCAGAATTATACTCAGAAATAGCTCTGTTGGATAAGTTGACTTTATGTTTATTGGAATAGAGGTTGGATGTTTCCAATAACTATTTATAAGTCTAAAATAGATGACTGAAATTATTACCAAAGAGAATTTTCAAAGTCACTCAGCAGTTCAGTTTTGATCCATTAGATGTTATGCTGCAGATTCCTCACCCATAATAAACTTAGAATCTTATTACGTTTGGTTGGAATCATACCCGGCACAAGGGGAGACGGTTGTTGAGGGTTGGTCATCTCCGTTCCAAGACATCTTTGCAGGTGTTCCTCAGGGTAGAATCCAACCATCTTCAGCTTCTTCATCAATGACCTTACCTCCACCATAAGGTCAGAAGTGACATTGTTTGCTGATGACTGCACAATGCTCTGCACATTCATGACTCCACAGATGCTGAAGCAGTCCGTATCCAAATGCAGCAACCTGGACAATATCCAGGCTTGTGCTTACAAGTAACAAGTAACATTCGTGCCATACCAATGCCAGGCAATCACCATTTCCAACAAGAGAGAATCAAATTATCACCTTAGCATTCAATGCATTACCAACACTGAATTCTCTGCAGTCAACATCCCGAGAGTTACAATTCCTGGAAACTGAACTGGATTATCTATGTATATACTATAGCTACAAAAGCAGGTCGGAGGCTAGAAATCCTGTAGTGAGTAACTCATGTCCTGACTCCCCAGAACCTTTCTCCCATCTACAAAGCAAAGTGAGGGATATGATGGAATACTCCCCACTTGTCTGGTTGAGTGTCGCTCTAACTACACTCAAGAAGCTTGACACCGTCCAAGACAAAACTGTCCACTTGAGAGGCACCGCATCCACAAAAAATCCACTCCCTCTACCACAGTAGCAGCATGTACCATTTGCAGCAATTCACCAAGGCTCCATAGACATCAACATCCAATCCCACAATGATTTCCCCGAGAAGGACGAGGTCAGAAATACACCACCATCTACAAATTCCACTACAAGGCATTCTTCATCCTGGCTTGGAAACATATTGCCATTCCTTCAATATTGCTGGGTCAAAATCCTGGAACGCCTCTCTAATGGCATTGCTTAACAGCATGGTGGATTGCAGCAATTCAGGAAAGCAGCTCATCACAACCTTCTTGAGGGCAACTAGGGATGAGTAATAAATGCTGGCCAGCCAGTGATGCCCACATCCCATGAATGATTGAATTAATTAATTTAACAAATCCCAGTAGACTCAGTTCAGGACTAGTGCAAAGTAATCGCATCTACATCAATCCCAGGAACACCATAGCAACACTGCAATTTAATCAGTTTGCAGTTTTTAGATGTGTGAAAAAAAGTGAGATGGTGGACCGCTAAGGCGTGTACTGGTTTAGATGATAGCAGATTATTCATGCTAACTCACATATTTTGTAGCTAAAAACAGCACAACCCAAATGAATTATTAGGTCATGGTGTTCATATACAAATTATTAGGAGCAGGCTCAGGGCATTCACCCTTAAAGCCTGTTCTGGCATTCAATAAGGGCATGACTAATTTGGTTGTAGCCTCAATTTGATTTTCTTTGCTATCCGCAATATCCTTTGACTGCTTTGTATTCTTCCAGAGTTACTTACTTATAATTTGTATCAGCAGCTAACGTCTGACTAAACATCGCAGTTGCCTGCTCATTATGTGTATCTTGTTCATATCTGTCTTGTTGAAACAAACATTCTGGTCTTTTTTTATAAATTTCAATTTCCTGCTCATTATTTCTGCTTTTACAGAGATGGTGCTTTTTTTTTAGGCATCAGGAGGCTCAAAAAGGGGCAAAACTGTGGTAATGTTTGTTATGTTGTGACTGGTTCAAAAGTATTTATGAGACACAATGAACATTGAGCAATATGGTGTCTCCTCTGTGTGGAGTTATCAGCAACTTGAATGTTTATAGATTCTTTATTTTCTTTTATCTATTGTTGGGATAGGGGCAATAAAGGCTATCATTTCTTGCTCATCCACTAACTGCCCTTGAGAAAGTAATAACTAGCTTTTGTTTGGATTGACTCAGACTACATGATGGAGATGCATCCACATGCATGTATGTTTGCGGGGTTCCAGGATTTTATTGAAACATGGAATGGTTATAGCATGGACCATATATGTGCCAGTTTTCTGCAATGAACAGCTCAGCTAGTCCATTCCACTGTATTTTTCCGTGGCCTTGCAAATTATTTTAATCTGCAGGTGCTTATCCAATTCTATTTTGAAAGATAGGATTTATTCTGCCTACCACGGTCTCAGGTAGTAGATTCTAGATCTTAGCCACTTGCTGTGTAAAAACATTTTTTCCCAGATCATCAATGGGTCCTTTTGCCAATCATCTTACATCGGTGACTCTGGCTCTCCACCCTTCTGTCAATGGGAACAAATTCTCTCACTCCTTTAGTTAAACTCCCTAATGGTTTTCAAAGCCTATATCAAATCTCTTCATTATCCATTGTCTAAGGAGAACAGTACCAGCTTCTCCAATCTAACCTCCTAGCGGAAGTCCCTCATACCTAAAATCATTCTCATAAAATTTTTAATATTCTCTCTGATGATTTCACATCCTTAATAAAGAGTGATGCCCTGAATTTGACACAGTACTTCAGCTCTGAATGAAATATACTGAGTTATAAATGTGCAAGATATCCTCCTGACTTTTGCACTCTATGCCTTTATTCATTTAGCCTAAGATTCCTCATGCCCTTTCAACCACTTTCTCAACATGGACTGCTGGCTTCAAGAATTTGAAAACCTACGCAGCAAATCTCTCTGCTCCTTTGTCCCCTATTGTAGCATTTACTTTATATTCTCTCTTTTCATTTTTTCTTACCAAAATACATCACTTCACACTTCGCTGTGAAAAGTTCATTTGTCACATGTTGTCGATTCTCCAGCCATTGAACTCCAACACCATTAACATCACAGAACCATTGAGGATGAAGCCAATAAATATTTCAGGTAGTTGGTCAAAGTGTAAACAACCAGAAACAAAGTTGAAGTTGCAGAAATATCCTAACTCAGCTTTACCTTGGTTCTCTGAAGTTCTATCCTTTAGTGCCCTATACTTTCTGGGTAGACTTTCTGTATGTTTATCTGGCATCAACCAGACAAAATGACTTACAGTTATCAGTCACACAAGTTATAACACATTATTGTTTTGAATGAGCAAGAATGGAATATCTTGTAAGTACACCAAGATTTTGTTTTAAATAGTCATCTCATATTTATATCTAACGGTATTTTTCAGTAGAAAAGAGCCCAGTCTTTTGAGTTATTTATACTTTGACCATCTACCTGAAATATATATTGGCTTCATCCTCAATGGGTTCTGTGATGTTAATGGTGTTGGCGTTCAGTAGGCTGGAGAATGGACAGCTTGTGACAGATGAACTTTGCACAGAGAAGTGTGAAGTGATGTTTAAAAGGACAGGCAGGACAATTTCAAATTGTTGAGGAGAAAAAGCAGCTAACTGTGCTTCATTTTCAAATGAATGATCCATCCTTCCCTTTGTACGGTCAGTCCTAATTTTTTTTTCTGGGTCTAATGTGTCCTTTAAATGATGGATATGCCTCCATTCATAATAGGTTTGTCTAATGATATAGGGAAGTCTTTAGCTCCTCTTGGGAAGTGCAGAAAAATAGCAATTGTTTATTTAAATATAAAGTCTTAACTATGTTTGTGTACAATATCAAATAAATATTTATATTAAAACAGGAAAAATAAATCAAACCATTTCATATACAATGATATGACTCACTGATCAATATTTTTTATATAAAAGGTAATTGTATCTAAACTGTAACATTTTTTCCAGGTGTTGGAGGTAAATGGAGTGATAAGAACTGTACAGAAGAATTACCTTTTGTTTGTACTTACAAGCTTGTCTAAAGTCAAAAACATGTGATGATACTTTATTCATCCTTCTGAAAATGGATTCATTGCATTGAATTGTCTTCAGGTGGTAGTGTTGTTGTATTTGTGGTGATTGTAACTATTTAGTCCACCATTAAATAATAAAATCGATCGCATAACAATTTGTTTGGTATTTTCTAAAATACTTAAAATATTTAACATTCTTAAAATCACAGAACATCTTACAGGGCAGAAAAAGGCTATATAGCTTTTTGAAAGAGGTCTCATTTAATACCATTTCTCTTCAATGAGCACATTATTTAAATTAGTAACTATCCATTTGAGAACACTATAATGTTGTAACCAATCTCTGTCTCGCATGTCAAGTATTGAACAGTCTTACTCTCTTCTTGATTTTTAATGAGAGTACCTCAAAGCACCTCCATTCTGTTAATCCCAATGTCATATCATTCAGAGAATGCCTGGAGACATTCCTTAACGCCTTACTGTTACACGCCCAAATTCCTGCACCAATAAAGAGAACACTATTAAATAAATTGCATTGTTCTCTAGGAATATGTTGTGCAAGGTATATGAGGTAGTTACAAAAGCAAATACTTTACATGCTGGAAATCAGAAATGAAAACAGAAAATGCACATTTAAGGTTTGGCAGCATCTGTGGAGAGAGAAACAGAGCCCTAAATCTGTCAATATTTCCAGCATTTTTTGTTTTAGATTGAGTGTTTACCATGTTATACTTTTTTTCTGAAGTAGTTTTATAAATTATTGGGTAAGTCCTTTCCCCCCTTCAACAGATTCATAAAAATAGAAACAATCATAGTTCTGGTAATACACTTCATCCATTTAACATTCAAGAGAAGGACAGAACATACTCAATGTTTACAACTGCTGTTGAGAATCCTGTCGGAGGTTGGGCAGAGGGAAATATTTAATATGATTTCAGTAACATTAAAAGCCCATTAAGCACCAGTAGTTTTTTCCCCAATTTAGATTGGAATTTCACAATCCCTCCAGTCCCCAGAAGTGGGCACACCAGGTCAGTATAAACCCAGATGGATTGGAGAAGGATGTTGTGCCCTCTTAAGTGCCTTCTGATGCTGCTGTTATTATTTTCCTAGTGACCCAGACTGCCCACATTATGCTGGTGAGGTTACCTGGGTATCCCACCCATGCAGGATGGTAGGATCTTTGTGTCTGAGCACCCTGTGCCAAAGACCGCATAGAATGTTCCTACCTTGGATTTCTGTTTGTGGCCCTCCATGCTCTCTTACTGGGTCTGCCTGATCGACCCTAACAAGGTGATCTTAATTAGCTTTCAGTCTAGCCATCATCACAGCTCCTCATCAGGAACTGACTGCAGTCCCGGTGGGGGTCACTAATCCCACTAACACCATTGTTGCACTCAGTTATCCTCCAGCAGAATGGTTGCAGGCATTTTACGGAGTGGAAGCAGACTTTTAAGAAACATTAGTTAGAGTAATGTTCTGACACTGGATCAATCTGGTAAAATTTTCCATGAAAGCACAGTGCCTGAGGAGATGAAAATATAGCAGATTCGACACAGCAAAGAGGACCATGAGAGAGGCACAGTACAATAACTGAGAGAATTTGGTACGATCAAATTGCATGATCATAGCAGCCTAATGAGGTCCACAATAACAAGATAAATAGATTAAGAAATCATTTAAAATAATTTCATTACTAATTCATTTCAAATCATATTAAATCCGCTACTAATGGTTAAATAAGTAAATATATGCAATGTATATATTTATAAAGACTTAATAAAGACTGGATGCAGAATGCTTTGATATTCAGAAATGCTGGAAAACAAGAATCCTATGAGGTAAAATTTGCCCAGCTAAACTCTGAGATAGTGGAAACTGCCGATGCTGGAGAATCTGAGACAACAAGGTGTAGAGCTGGATGAACACAGCAGGCCAAGCAGCATCAGAGGAGCAGGAAAGCTGATGTTTCGGGTCTGGACCCTTCTTCAGAAGGGT